CAGACTTTTTTTCCAAGCTAAGGTCTAGGGCTAATAACTTGGGAGTGAGAAATGGTATAAAATGTGAATGATGCTTTTTAAATGAGGACAGTAGTTTCATGAGAAACCTTGATACTTTAAGATAACACAAAAGCTTTAATTTTTAAGTATATATTTTAAGGGTATAATGCGTGTATACCTATGTGCACCTACATATTTTACTGTCAAATTTAAAGCTCAGGCATGCTGTAGAATATCCAGAAAGTCCAAACACTACTTGACATAAAAACAAATCTCAGATGTAAGTGCTGTGTAGAATCCAAAGATGTTTCAGGAAAGAGGAACAGATGGCAATTGAAAAGTGCCAACTGTAATTCTAATTAGTATCAAAGTTCAATTTGCCGCAAAGCATGCAGATAATTTATTTGCCGTTTGAAAATCCAAGTTTAAACTGAATTTGAATGTAAAATGATTTGAAATATTTTTCATGGAGTTGACCTGATATTCTCAAACTAGTCATTGACGGTACTGCTTGATTTTATTTCATCCCATGCTAAACTTCCTCCAGAACTTCCACCAAACTATCTACTTTAATTCTTCATTCTGACTGTTGTAATTTAATATTTGCTGACCCACCAATTGGCAATTAAATCTTACTTGGTTACATTTCAGTTTGCTGCACTGTTTGCTCCAGAATGCTCTGAGCTGAGGTCCTGTCAGTTACAGCATGTTGGCCATTGGTATACAGTTGGGATTGCTGCTCCCAATGAATAAACCTCTCCGTGGCTCTTCGAAAACAGCTGACTATCATGAACTTTTCCATGCAGTGGGAGGCAGCAGTCATTTCAGGTAAGCATTTTCTTAAAAACACAACTCCTACATACATACTTAAATTGAGAAAACATTGAAAAGATGCCTTTTCCACTTAACGAGGGAATTGACTTTTATTTCTATAATATAGAAATTAAAAGAAATGACCTGGGAAGGAATCTGGGTATAGTTTAGTAACATATGTGATGGGGGAATTTGGAAACATAATGTATCTAACTAGAAGACCCAGGAGAGAGACCCCCTGCACGCCCCCCCCGCCCCGCCCAAAAAGCAATTTTATTTCTATAAGCTATCTGCATTTCCCATACCTCAGCAAGTCATACTTTTAAGAAGTAAAGTCTGGTGTGAACTTGAACTTGAACATTTAAGTTAAAAACCTTAGCCAGTGATACATTGCAGAAGATAAGACGCTGTTTTTCTTCCAAAACCTGTAACACTTCTCCCCCCACTCCTTTGGCTGGTTTGTCCCATTTCATGGTAGGGTTGAAATATTTCAAGCTAAGATAACAAAGTCAAGTTCAAGGTCTTCCTAACACAACTTGGGGAAATGCCAAGACTAGCAGCATGTTGTTCTTGACAGGTACAACTACATCAGTTTCTTAAGGGAGAGAGAGATTTGCAGAACATCCCACAGGGAAATGGAGCAAATGCCTTGTTGAGTTACAATCGCTGAGCTATATCCCATGGCACAGTGTGTTGTATCTTTTTATAGAACCTCTGTGAAGCTGATGGGCCTGAAAGTGAAAGCACATTTTAGTAGAAAGGCTTCTATCTGGTCAGTCAGTGCTGTCAGAGATCAGAAGACTGTTGGGACTCACCCTAGAATGAATTGTTTTCTTTGAGCTCGTATGTGCACCTCCAAGTGAACACACCAGCGAATTGTGGCTGTAAGTAACACTGCCTGACCTTTTCCTTTGGCCGCTAATGGACTGTGGGTTGTGCCAGCAGTCAAGACCTGTTCCTCAAAGGTATTTCCAATGCACATATTTAGTACGTCAGTGGGACACTTTAGAGCTCATCCTAGGATGTGGGCTAATTATTTCTGAATTGGTCATACAAGGTTTTAGTCTGTGGCACCAGCATGTAGAGGATGGGAGCTTCTCCTGACATGGAGCCTCAGACATTTGTCAGGCAAACCTCAAGCTGTCCGAGACTGTGCAGTAAAAGCTTACATTTAGAAAATCAGCATTGTTTCCCCTTTCCATAGCTGTCTCAGCCTTTACTTTGCTCATGAAAGCAAAAAAATGGGGAAAACATCCATCTGTCCTAGTAGACTGTTTTCATAGACTATGCAAAACAGAAGAAATATACTTAAGGGGGAAAAGTGTTGTTTGTTTGTTTCATCTAGTCAGCTTCTAAGCAAACGTGCTGGGCAGATAAGAATCTAGGTTATTAAAAAGTATCTGCTAGGAACACACTTTTCAGCTGCCCATTTAGCTAATGTGGTCTGTTTGTAATGTCATTTTTAATGTATTGGATATTATTCACATCGACAGTATCTAAACACAAGCCCATCATCATAATTACATACAGTTATCTGGAAGAAACATTTTAAAGTAAACAATCACTCTTAAGGAACTATTTTCAAAACAATGAAGTGCATGTATTTTCAAACATTTGAACAGTGGGTTGGGATATTTAGAATTTATTATCAAAGTAACCTATAGAATATGAGCTAATTTTAGGAGGCATTGTACAAAGTGAAAATGGTGGGCAGGTGGGTAGGGCCAGTGTTTGTAGATGTCCTGCTCAAAGCATGGGGCTTGGCTGGAAGGACTGTTGACATTGCTTCATTTTGCTAATCCACGTGGGTCAAGCCCATGATCTCATAGTACTTGAGGCAGCATGCTCCAGAGGAGATGTTATTCCTGTTCAAGTTGCCTTGAAGGCATGTATGGGTGGACTCAGAACTCTTGATTGCTTATCCAGGCTCATGAGATTATTATCTCTCCATTCACAAAAGCAAAATTCTGGAAGTACAGAGAACAGTGGAATGGATTTTAGCTGATGATAAACCTTGTCAAGCTGTCTAGGTGTCCCCACCTAGCTAAAGCTGGAATGTCAGCAATAAGTGGCCCAGTCCTCTTCTTGCACTGTCTAGTATCCTATATAATTGGGTTAGACATATGTTTTATTGATCAAAACTATGTGATGAGTGTTCTGAACTATAAATAAGGGGCTGGCATTAGTCATTCCAACTGATGGATTCTTACCGTCAAAAATAATCAAAGCAAAGGGAAGTCAGAAATATAACACGATTTTTTCATAAAACTGATACTTAACTCAGTTTCATTGTATATATACAATTTGAATTGAAAAAATGTGACCTTACTAAAATTCCATAATCCTGATTATTCTATAAATTTGAGATTATGTTTCACGTGTGATTGGGAACTTTGCTTTGGAAAATGAATGGATCCACTTTGGATTCAATCCACAGAAAGGCAGTAGTTGAGAAATACTGGAAAGAAATCTGGTTTCAGAGTCAAACAGATGTAGTTTGAGAAATTGTTTCTTCCACTAACTTGCATTGCAGGCTTGGGCCTGTCACTTCATCAATTAACCTTAGTTTCTTTATTGTAAGTAATCTTTGTCTTCTCAGAGTTTATGTTAGGATTAAAGAGATAACATATGTAAACACCTGGTGCACAATTATGTCTCTCAGGGGCTGTCAAGTGCACTAGCTGAGTGTAGATTCTAGAGCAGCAATGCCTGGGTGTGGACCCGGAATCTGCCTCATTAGCTCTGTCCTTAGATGAGTTTCTTCACTTCTCTGTGCTCAGTCTGCTCTCCTGTATAAGAGGAGAATTAGCAATAAGTAGGTTATTATGATTAAATGAGTTATTGTAGGTAAAGTACTTAGAATAGTATTTGGCAAGCAGTAAATAAATGATGCTTATTTAATAGTATGACAAATACTTGTGATTATAAATAAGCATTAGGAATTCCATTTCTCCTCTTCTGTCACTTGGTGGCAATGGTAACGTTGTGGTTCTGGGTTCTGGCTTTGCCTTCAGTTACATTTACTTGTATTCACCTGTAATGGAAAATCCCAGCTTAAGAGGGACAGCAGGTCTAGCAACAGATAAGAGTTACTAGGTCTTCTACCTTGAAATCATACATAATGTATTCTGGGGCCCCTGACCGTGGAACTTAAGCTCAGTTGGATACCTTGAAGGTCAATAATATGCAGAGGAAACACCGTTGTGGTGTTTCTGGGAGATCGTGATGGTTAATTGTAAGCATCAAGTGTAATTGATGGTTAATTGTAAGTTGACTGGGCCATAAGGTGCTCAAACATTTGGTCAAACATTATTCTGAGTGTGTCTATGAGTGTTTCTGTGTGAGATCAAAATTTGATTCTATCGACTGAGTAAAGCAGATTGTACTCTGTGTGATGGGTGGTTCTCATTCAATCAGATGAAGGCCTGAATAGAACTGAAAGGACTCTTAAGAGGAAATTCTTCCTGCCTGACTACTTACAAACTGGACATTAGTTTTTTCCTTGCCTTTGGACTCAAACTGAAACACTGGCTCTTGAGGCTGTGGACCTTCAGACTAGAAATATACCATTGGCTCTTTTGGGTCATGGCCTTTGGATTTGAACTAAATAATCAGCTCTCTCTCTTGGATCCAGCTTCCTGCTCACCTTGAAGATCTTGTGACTTGTCAACATGTATTACTGCATGAGTGAATGTATGTAAGTGTGTGTGTATTTTATTTTTGCACATTATATTTTGTTGAGTTTTTTTTTTAAGAGAAGCTTGACTAATATAATACAGAATTGAACAGTTTAATATTATTTACATTTCCCCAATTAATTCTTGTTTCTTCCTTGTGGAATTAATCTTTCTAATAAAGATTTTATTTGACAAAAAAAAAGTGTATCTAACACCATCCAGTCATTTGTTCAGTAAAAATGCTTGTAGGGTGTATTATGTATCAGGCACTGCACTTGTCTCAGGGACATAAGTGAGAAAATGGTTCTTATGCTAATGGAGATAGGCTGGTATTATAGAGAAACAACATAGAAGTAATAAACCAAATTTATGATTTTTAACAGGCTCTAGTCTTCTGAGGAGGTGTCAGCTAAGCTGAAATTGGAGAAAGTTTTAATCATATACGTGACAACAGGAGGGGAATTACAGACAGAGAGCCTTTTGAAAACCCATCCGGGATGTCGACATGCTATGGAAGTGGAAAGGAAGAATTCTGGTGAGTCACTGCGGTTTCAGTGGAGACAGCATGACGTGAAGTCAGAAAGAAGGTGATGGGAGGTCAGCAGGGGGTGGGGACCACAGTAAAGGGATCAATGTGCAAGAACTTTAAGCAATGGATTAACATGGCCTAGTTCATGCATTTAAAGAATTTCCTAGGCTACAGACAGAAGAGCTGATTAGTCTGGGCAGGATGGAAATGGGAAGGCCGGTGTCTTACTGGGTGGTTGGCAAGGGTGGGGGAGTTGGGGGTGGTCGTGGCTCAGAGGAGCGTGAGACAGAGACGCAGCAGTTGTGACTGCATTCTCTCTAGGTCCCGGCTGGTCCATCAGACCCCAGCTTCACCCCATTTCACTCCCTTTAAGAAGGATTTTTCACTCACAAGCTGCCCAGAATAGATCAGGGGCCACTGCCACCTCCTTGTTGCAATCTTCGCGGGTCAGAGTGCAATTAGTTAATTCTTAAGGGTGATTTCTCTCTCTCTCTTTTTTTTCCATATGACGATCTCTGGGTTCTCACGTATATATGGCTGATGATTCTAACTCAACACATATTTGTTGAATGAGTGAAGGAAATGAGTAAGTGCTATGTACTTTGTTAGGAAAGAGAGAAAAATTTCCAACTTCTAGAGAAATTATAGGAAATGAAAAGAGTAGAGAGCAAGAAACTTTTTTGAATATGTTCAAACTTGGTTGAGACAAAAGTTCTAGAAAGGCTGGGTGGGGAAGTCAGGCCAAAATATAAATGTCATAGTACAACAGCCTTTGACCCTGCATCGTTAGCCTAGACTGTGGGATCTTAAAGCGCCAAGTCCCCCGTCCTGTCCAGTTGTATCTGCCGCCACATCCGGGCCCGGGGAGCTAAGGGTGGGGTGAGGGGACCCCGCTAGGACTTTGGGAGGTGAGAGGGAGGAGCAGCCCTGATGGCAAAGCAGTGCTGCTGCTCCTCGGAGCTCTGAAACGTGCCAGGCGTTTCTCTCTGCCCTTGCATGCAACTTTGATTCTGCTTTGGCCACCTATCTGCCCAGTGACCGGTCTCCACTTCGATTGAGGGCAGGAGTCTTAAGGGTTAGGAGTGCATTTCATTCCAACTATTTATCTGCCAATTAGAGAAAACAATCAAACTTCCATAGCTGAGGATTTATGGGGCTTTTGTATGCCCTGTTTGCACTCACTGAATTGGTTAGTTCAAATAACTTGTGTGAATGATTTTCCACCGAGTTAACCAGTAGCCTAAATTAAGCAACATAGCTTGTCATTTTGGTGTTAGGTAAACAGAGACGTCTGGGATTCAGGATCAATAGTCAGTGTGAAAAGGTAGATCACTTAAATAAGTGGTAAGATAAAATAGGATTAAATAAGAAAGATCACTGAAATAAGGGTTTGAAAGCCTGTGTGGGACGAAATACATAAAGAAGATTCAGGGTATCCACCATGTCTGAAGAAAATGAGGAAGCTTAGCCTGTTATCATCCTGTAAACTGGAAAAGAAGCGTGTGCAAAAGTGGAGACAGAGGCTCAGACCTGGAGACCGCCCAGGACCCTTCAGCAGACAGGAGATAAATGAACAAAGGCAGGTTCAATAGAAGAGAATTCTACAGCACACGCAGCGAGGCACTGGGTGGCTTGTGGCTCTAAGGCTGAGCTGTGGCAATATCATGTTAAAGGAAACAGGTAAAACGTTGGCTCAGAGGTTAAAGCGTCTGCCTGCAATGTGGGAGACCTGGGTTCGATCCCTGGGTCGGGAAGATCCTCTGGAGAAGGAAATGGCAACCCACTCCAGTATTCTTGCCTGGAGGATCCCATGGACGGAGGAGCCTGGTGGGTCCATGGGGTCGCAGAGGCGGACATGACTGAGCGATTTTACTTCACTTTAGGGATATAAATATATATATACCATGAAGCCACATAAAACTGAAAGGAAGGGATTCCGCATGGTGATAACGTTAGGCTGTGCAGAGGCAGTGTTGGGATGGAGACAGAGGAACCACAAGTTTGGATGTAAATTACTGGCATCCTTTTAGCTTTGCACAGTAGAGATTTGCAGGTGTTAATTACATTATTAGAAAAAAAGGAAGAATAAAAAGGAATGGGAGAGGGAAGAAGGGCAAAGGGGCCTTGTGTATATCAATAATGATAAACCTCATTTATATTCCAAAGTTTAAAACAAAGGTTGATCAAAAAGCCTTTTCTTGCAACACTAGGCAAAGTCTCTTTCTAAGTTTATCTGGTTGTCTGGGGTGTGTTGGGGACCAGAGCTAGAAAGGTAACTTGTTTTTCCTGATCCACCTGTCTATTTTTCTGAGCATCTTATCAGAGTTAGAGGAACCACTCTTTGGAAAATCTTAACGAAACAAACAAATGGACTTCACACTGCTCTGTCACTGTTTCCCTCTTCCTCGTGTCTGTTCCGTATTCTTTGAGTTCCACCTTCTAAATGTCTCCCGAAGTCACCCATCCTTCTTCACCTTATGGGTCAGGAAGTGAGCTCTGCTTGCTTCCTGTTTCTGACGTTAGGCTTGCTTTCTAAAGAGTGTCCAGCATTTTCCCTCTAACGTGAAACTCTGTACCAGGCCCCACTCAGATCCTCTCATGAAAGTGTGCTGCTGCTGCTGCTGCTAAGTCGCTTCAGTTGTGTCCGACCCTGTGCGACCCCATAGACGGCAGCCCACCAGGCTCCCCCGTCCCTGGGATTCTCCAGGCAAGAACACTGGCCTGGGTTGCCATTTCCTTCTCCAGTGCATGAAAGTGAAGAGTGAAAGTGAAGATGCTCAGTTGTGTCTGACTCTTCGCGACCCCACGGACTGCAGCCTACCAGGCTCCTCCATCCATGGGATTTTCCAGGCAAGAGTACTGGAGTGGGGTGTCACTGCCTTCTCGGCATGAAAGTGTGAGGTAAAGCCAAACCCCTCAGGATGGGAGCTGAGACCTTCTCTAGTAGGCCAGCTTTGCCCCTGCTCCTCACACACTCTGGCCACACACCGCTGTCTTGCTCTGACTGTCCTGATGCCTCTTGTTCTTGTGTCTGCTCTTCCTCTTTCCTGCAGTTAGCCTGTTCTTCCCTTTGCATCACTGACCAATTCCTGCTCTCCCTCAGGTATTGCCTTCTCCATCTGGGGAAGGATTTGATTTGCATCCTTCCCCAGTACTGCTTTCTTGGCCTCTCTCTGCCTACTGAGACCCCCGGAACATGTGGACTAGGAACTGTGGTGCCTTTAGCCCAGTATCCCCAGTGGACCGTCTGATGGGCCAAAGCTGCTCAGTCAGTGTGTGTGGAACAGCAGATGTGTTGAAAACAATTATTGTTGTTGTTTAGTAGCTAAGTCGTGTCCGACTCTTTTGCAACCCCGTGGACTGTAGACTGCCAGGCTCCTCCGGGGGATCTTCACAACCCAGGAATCAAACCCAGTATTCTTGCAACTCAGGCAGATTCTTTACCACCAAGTCATCTGGGAACCCTAAAATCAATTACTAAATGCTTAACCTGTGTGGAAAACAAAAATGGTCTTCTTCTTCCTTCCTCAGTTGTGTTTCTCTCAGCAGAGATGAATTCTTATCATACCTCTCCTTTTCTCAATAAAATTCAGTTAAGTGCTGTGGATCAAACCTCAGAATATTACAAAAACTTTTGAAGGTAGACAGGATGTATCAAAACTCCAACCACATTTTGTGTAAAATAGAGACTGTATTTTTAACCTTTTTAATGATTTTATTTCATTTATTTTGGGTGTGCTGGGCCCTCTTGCTGTGAGGACTTTGCTCTAGTTGTGGGGTGCAGGTTTCTCACTGCAGTGGTCTCACGTTGCGGACACGGGCTCCAGGGTGCGTGGGCTTCAGTAGTTGCGGCTCCCAGGCTTGAAAGCACAGGCTCAATAGTTACGGTGTATGGGCTTAGCTGCTCCGCGGCATGTGGGATCTTCCTGGACCAGAGATCCAACCCGTGTCTCCTGCACTGGCAGCCAGATCTTTGCCACTGAGCCACCAGGGAAGTTCCTAGACTATATTTATAGCATACAGAAATAATCTTCATTGTTTCTAACACCTCTATTCATATCAAACTTCAAAGATGCTTTAAGTAATAGACGTCTTTTTATTTAAAATCAAAATTCAATGTTATGTGTCTACTATATAATTCTAGAGGAATTAGTGAAGTGGAAACTGTACTCACGAGAGTTATATTAAATCCATATTTGAAAAATATTATCCTAAAATTTATAATGCTATAAATTTAACCGTAGCGTCAATTAAATACCAACATTTAAACTAAAAAGAGCTTAGTCAAAATTACTTTCAAAGAGAGAAAACACAGGCAACTGTTTTGCTGTGGTTGTGGATGTTCAGGGCTTTGCGGCTGTGAAAGCTGAATCAAGCCTGAATGTGACTCAGCATTTCTGAGCCCTCACAGCTTAAACCTCCTGTTTCCTTGGCGACCTTTGATGCAAGGAGACCCCCTGAAACTTGAAGACCTTTGTGGCTGCAGGTGGAGCAGCAGGAACCAAAGGGCTCCTGCGCAGGGAAGTCTGGAACTTGAACTGCGTTTTAGCTGCTCTTTGTCTGCTGTGGTCATTTCTCTTAGCTTGTTTGGCCTTTCTCTAGGTTGACAGAGCTGCCAGTCAACTTTCATAAGTTATTTTCCCACAGAGGAGAGTCTGGTTTTGATAGAAGAAAGTAGTTCTTTCCAATTCTTTGTCCACAGCTTCACACTCTCCCTGTGGAAACTGAGTTCTGATATGCGTAGTTTATGTTTCCCTACACCTTGGGTAGCTCCTTCGCTAAGTAGCAATTTCCTCTATCTATGCTCTCTGGAGTTGCGTTACATGTTCTCCGTGTGCTTGAGGCAGTATTTGAAGTTTCAGCTGAAGCTTCTGATTCTCTCCCAGGCTCTGAATTTTCAGTCTGCAAAAATGCCCACTCAGGTTGAAGTTGTTTTTTGTTTGTTTGTTTGTTTAGCTTGTCCTGTAAATTCTTTATTCATTTGACTGTGACAGCCTTCAATTTTTTAAGTATTTCTTACTTTTCTCCTTCAAGCCTTTTGAACGTGGCATTTACATTAATAACATCAAAGGGTTTTTTCACATCAACTTCTGACTGATAGACTAATTGATTCCCTTTTCTAATTCATTCTTTTTCTTGAATTCCAAGATGCTGTCTTTCCTGTAATCTTCTCCGAAGAGATGAGTCAGATTTACAACCTTCAGTAGTTTCAGGTGGAGATCTTAACCGGCTCTCTTTATCTTTCACAACTGTTTCATTTGTGTGTTTGAGTTTTCAAGCATGTTTTTCTCTTCCTTCAGCTTGCAGGTACTGTTTGCTTTCATGCTGCAGTTTCTTAGGCAAGCAGTTTTAGACTGTCCTGAAGTTGAGCATTTTCTTTCAAATCATGCATTGTTTTCTTCTGAAGTCACTCTGCATTCTTCTGAGAGGCTAAGCCATCCTTTTGCATTAGTCACTGGGGATTGGCAGGATATTCGTGCCTCTTGGAGTGACTGTCTGTTGCTGAAGGTGAGCCATCACCATCAGCCCATGAATTATTTAGTATTTACTTTGTTGGCCAAGAGAGTACCTCGTTCACTTCTGATGCAGGTGAGTCTCAGGACAGTGGCAGACTCTGGGACAGAGGGCGGGTGTTGGGGCCGGGGTGGAACTCCGCCTCGCTGGTCAGGAAGGCCTCACCACACAGATGTGGTCCTGCCACCATCTAGCACGTGGTGCCCGGTGCCCAGCGCTGACCATGCCTCTGCGGGTACCACACATCCCTCACCCTGGATGGAAGGTGGAAATCACCCTGCTTGCTGGCCAGCAGCATCCAGCATCCCCACAGCTTGTGCTGGCCCAGGCTTCTGGGGACGAGCAGAGTGCATGAGAGCGCCCGAGCTTCTCGTCCGTCTCTGGCAGGTCGATGGGCTGGGGCCATGGGGATGCCGAGGCCACTGGGGCCACTCACCTGGAGAGACTTTGAGCAGTCATCTCTGGGAACCTAGAACTTTCTGGATGAGGGGCCCCCAGCTTCCCTCTTTACTGAGCTCACTGGGTCCCCCTGGCCAGTCTCTTGGCTTGGGGGACAGCAGGGCTGGAATTGGGGTGCCTGGGGTCTTGGTAAGCCGAGACTCCTCAGGGTGACTCACAGGGTCTGAGATCGAGGCCGTGGGGTTGGGGAGAGTGGGCAGTGGCCCGAGCTGATGAGTGTGGACCTGAGTCCTTCAGAGTGGGCATCTGGTCCTGGAGGCTGTGGGCCCCGGGACATGGGTGGTGGCCTGTGGGGGGTCTTCGTGGCGCTCAAAGTCTGGGTGACACGAGGCCCAGAGTGTGGGGCGGGGAGGCTCCTGGGGGCCCATGGAGGTGGTGAGAGCAGCTGGTTGATGACCTGGGGCTCCCTTTGCTGTTCTTGTCTGAGAGTGAACGCTATGTCCTCAAGCACAGCCCCATGCCGGCTTTTATTGACCGCTGCCAAACTCTGGAGCGTGTCACTGGAGAGGACTGGCTTTCCACCCCTGGGGACTTGAGGGTTTCGCAGGCTTGTGCCATGAACCCTGTGACATTCTTCAACCAGGCAGATAATCTTTCGGCTGACTCTTCCTCTCCTTAAAGCATGTGGGCTTTTTATTGTGAAAATAGCCGTGGGTGTACATAACCAGGACCTCCTGGGGATACCCAGAGAGGCCTGGGCCTTGTCTCAGGCATTTGGTCGGCTTCAGCAGAGACCACGCAGCTGCCCCAGAGCCAGGAGGTGGGGAGGACATTCCTGGGAGGTCAGGACCCTTCCCTGGCTCCAGAGGGCACCGCGGATGTACAGAGCCCTGGAGGATGCTCCGTCTCTAAAGAAAACCAGTGCCTGGCAAGCAGATCATCAGTTGGGCCGGCGGAAGGGAGGCAGCCAGTTTCTGTAAAAAGGGGGTCTCCTCTGCGGCGGGGTGCACCCCAGAGAATGCTGTTCCAGATGGTGCACTCGGTGGGGGCTGACTGAGCGCAGCCAAGACCAGCCTGGAACTCGGGCCACCCGAGGCCCCACCGGGCCCCATGGCCGACCCGGAGGATGCAAGCCCTGCCCTGCACCATCCACTTCCCACACGTGGGTGTGTCCAGGCTCCATGGACGGCTGCCCTGAGGGCCCCTGACCCCATGTCCCTCCTGGCGAGGCTCAGTCCCTCGATTTAGTTTCCTTATGCAGCAGGGAAGCCGGCTTCTCCCCGAAAGGTCACAGGGATCTTCCTCCCCTGCAGGCGCCTGCTCTCCTTTGCGCTTGTCACTCAGGGGGCTCACGGGCGCCACCAGGCGGAGAGACTTTGCACTCACAAGAACTCAGGTGAGATCAGTTGACACTGGAAGGTTACGGTTTTCGGCGGAGCTCGTTTGTTCCCCTTCAGTCCTGCTGTTCCTGGACGGGGTGACGCTCCTCCGGGGGAGCTCAGGGCGCCAGGCTCCCTCTTCCAGGTGGCTCTTCCATCTTCATGTGCCTCCCGAGGTGGCCTTGGAAAGGTCTCCAGTTCCTGAGTCATTTTAGGAGTGCGCCTCTATGCAGAGAGTAGGCCCTTTTTGGGCTAAATTTGCCAACTCTTATTTCTTCAAATCTCCTTCTCCAGATTCAGGCTCAGAGCCCCTTTCTGGGCTCTGTCATGACTGGCTGCTCCCCAGGACTGCTTCCAAGACTCTCTGGCCGTGTTCTCTTCTGGGTCAGAAAGCCGCCTCTGAGAATCGGGACAGGGTTCACGGCCCAGTTCTTCCTCAATGGAACGTGACTACCAGCTTCTGTAGTCTCCAATGTGCACTGGATGTGTTTCCTGGTCTCACTGACTCGTCCGTCCTGCTGCTGACAGGAAGAGAGGCCCGGAAAGGATGCGGTCGGCCCAGCTGGAGAGGAGGTTGCCCAGAAATGCCAGATGCTCCTCTTCCAGGGCCTTCCAGCAGCCAGACCACGGTGCTGGGTACAGAGTCCGAGAGAGCCTGGAGCTGCAGCTGCTCCGGGGGGCTTGCAGGGCCCAGGGCCTGTTCCTCACATCGTCATGGGGAACCACCAGCCCATGGCTTGGAGTTAGTGATGATTGTGCAGACTGGCAAGTGGACAGGCTGGAAATCTGAATCAGAGTTGAATTTACAGTCTTGAGTCTGAAATCTATAGAGCAGACCAGGCAGAATGGTAACCTGAACAAGATTTTTGGTTATAGTCTTTGAACTCCTTTTTCCTATTTTTCATGTGTAATTTTACTTCTGTGTATTGGAGAGGAGGCAGATTTTTCTAAAGAGGATCAAGAATATACTCCAGCATACAAAAGTACAGGTAGAGGCAACTGGGAGAAAAGACCCTCCTTTTCAGAGGTTTACAATGCAGAGGGCCACCTGCAGAGGAACTCAGAAAGATCAAAGGGAGAGATCAGTGCTCTCACAATGGACCCAGCGCTGAAATTGTTGGTGAGGGCAGGTCCCAGGGCCTGCACACAGAGTCTCTCGAATGCAGAGTTCTGCCTCCAGAAGCCAGAGAGAATGATTTCCATTTTCAATCTTGAGGTTCCTGCATGCTCAAGAATAAAGCCATCTCCCCTGACTCGGGGAGTGGCCACTCCAGAGGCAGGCCTGCTTTCAACTCCTTGAACCTGATCACAGGGGGTTCCCAGCCCAGTGAAGCTATGACGCAGGAGCTGTTGACCTGCGTGGCCCCAAGATCTGCTTCAAGCAGATTTCCTGCAATGAGTTGGGTCAAGGAAAGTTTTTCACTGACGCTTGATTTATTTTTAATTTATTTTATACGACCACGTTGCCTTCTTCCTTCTTTGGGAGTGCCCATAACAAAATACTCCATGCACGGCCTGAATGACGATCAGGGCCCAATGTGAGAACATTCTCAGGTTCTTTGTGCAGCCCTGGCTCGTCTGTTAAGGAGGCTTTGTTATTTCAGAAACCTTCAAACAGGTAATAAATAAATTTCCACTGGGTTGGCACTTCCTCTCATTTCCTGAAGGAGGGGCGGATTGTTCAAAGAGCTCCCCAGGGATACCCCGGCCCTCTTGTAAGGACCGAATGACCACTGCGTCATTGCCTTGTGGCATTGTCACGTAGAAAACCCAGGGAAGGTCACACATAATATCAGCATCAGAGCTGGGAGTGTCAGTATTGGAATTGTTCTGAAGATAAACCACCAAATCAAGTTACTACAGAAAATGGTCAAAGAGGCTTAAAACCTGTTCAGATGCTCTTTCGGAAGACATGCCTCGCATGCTGTCATCTGCAGAAGATTAGAAAGGCCTGGTTACCTCTGAAGAACATGAGGGTGACGTGGCGTCCAGCAGAAAGGTTGGGGTCCTGCCTGGAACAAGCCGGCAGCTCTTCATCAGCTCTTCATCAAATAAGTTTTGCCAAGATAAGGGAGGCTTCTGAAGGATGATTGCCTCTCTTTGGTGATATGCATTACAGTTAGATTCAAGTGCATATGAAAAACAAATGAGCAAAAATCTAAAAGCTGTCCTGCTGCCCACTCAAAATGATTAAGTGATTATGCAAAAGAAGATTCCTCAGAAGTGTGGAAATGTGCAAGACTCAATTGCTTCCAGACCTGAAAGAAGGAGCTTAATTTGACAGTCACTTAAATTGATATTGCTTTCAATAACCATGCACTGCTCATTTTGTAAAGGAAGCCCAAATCGTCAGTCCCAGTACTTCACTAAACTTTCCTAACACCCTAATTCCAGTTATTTAATCATACAATTAAAAAGTGATCGAAATAGCACAAGAAAACAAGTATAAACAATCTTGAGAATTCAATGGGTCCATCTAAAACAACAGCATTATTGGAATGATTAATATGAATTTATAAAATATTTATTTTCATAAGTAAAGAGAGGAACAGCAAAAGAAAGGGCTAGGAAAAAAAAGAGGTTTCTTCCTATTCCTTTCGTGTTCAAAATTTGAGCTGATTTAGATATTAAAGATTGACCGCTTGGTAAATGCCTTATTTCCCCTCTTTTCACTCCAAACCAATTGCTATTTTATTCCTTTTCCATTACCAAATCATTCAAGAATATTCTAGTTTTCTAGAAATATATAGATAAATTAGAAAAGTGAAATATCCTGAAATTTCAACCCAATACCATCAAACTGTAAATTTATCATGAAAATAAACTCTAGTTCAATTGTTTTAAATTCTACTTATATTCACTACAGTGTAGCAGTGACATAGCCTTAGCTCATTAAGTGTATCGGATGTGAGATTATTAGGGATAATTTACATATATAATTTATTCTGGATGCAGGCTTTAGAGTTAGACTCCCTGGGTCAAACTATTGGTTTTGTCAATCACAGCTGTGTAAGCTTTGGCAAAGTATGTTTCCATCTGATAAAATCTGAATGGTAGTACACATACTTCATAGGCTATTGTGAGCATTATGTGACTCAAAAACTGAGAGCGCTTAGAATAGTGCACTGTGCGTCCCTGGTAGCTCAGTTGGTAAAGAGTCTGCCTACAGTGCAGAGACCCCAGTTTGATTCCTGGGTCAGAAAGATCTGCTGGAAAGGGATAGGCTACCCACTCCAGTATTCTTGGGCTTCCCTGATGGCTTGGCTGGTAAAGAACCTGCCTGCAATATGGGATACCTGGGTTCAATCGCTGGGCTGGGAAGACCCCCTGGGGAAGGAAACAGCTACCCACTCCAGTATTCTGGCCTGGAGAATTCCATGGATTGCACAGTCCATGGGGTAGCAAAGAGTCAGACACGACTGAGTGACTTTCACTTTCAGAATAGTAAACATTTATTCAATACATTTAACCATATTGATGGTGATGATAATAGTAATGTGCAAGAAGATAAATAACTTGGCTAAATAACTCAGTGTGTATAGAAAGTTGACTAAGATCTAATTCTTGCCTTCAATGAGTATACAGTGAATAAGACAAGTAGATAAATGACAAGAATGTAAAGATATGAAAATTAGGAAATTCCAAAGAGCTTGATATTACATGAGATTTAAGGAACCATTAATTCAGCATGGCATTCATTTATTCACTTCAATTTGATAACTTATTATAATACAGTTTTTAAATGAATATATGCTAGTTAATTGCAATGAAAAGTTTAATACTTAAAATTAATTAGTGAGCCAGCATATTCCTCAAATGATGATGTTTAATATAGATAACTGTTAGCTATTTAAGGATGAGGTTTTATAGTCTGCTCCCATCAATTTATTGTCTTTGCTTTCTTGATAATTTAGTTTTATGCCCAATTTTATATAAATCAGAGTGCTTCTCTTCCTTACAGTCCTTTTTGATGTATCCATCAACTGATGACATTTGTTGAAAGTCTCCTATATATTTACCATTATACTTGCTCCTCAAAAGAAGTAGATATATTTTTATGTGTAACAACAAGATGAGCGAGTTGTATATGTAATAAAAACAATTTTTAATTGCAAAAAAATGAACAAAGCCATTGGTGAAAATGTTCTCAATGTGTAACAGTGAAAAAGCTAAAACCCTAATTATAGTTTTAAAAACCTTTCAAATAAATAGCAAAAAATATGCACAGTGGAAAAGGGAGTAGAACATGAGAAGATGGTTACAATTTTAGAAAAAGTCAAGTGTATGAGACATGTTTAATTTCATTAGCAATAAAAAATTCCAATGTAACCAAGACCTAAATGCATTCTTTAGTTATTATATTTGCAAATATTTATAATTCATGCTGTTGGCAAAAGTGTAAGGAAAGGGGACTCCTGGCTGATGGAAGCATAAATTAACACAGCCTATTAGAAAATCATATTTCTGTGTATGGTGTTAGAAAGTGTTCTAGTTTCATTCTTTTACAAGTGGTTGACCAGTTTTCCCAGCACCACTTGTTAAAGAGGTTGTCTTTTTTCCATTTTCCATTGCCTCCTTTGTCGAAGATAAGGTGACCATAGGTTCGTGGATTTATCTCTGGGCTTTCTATTCTGTTCCATTGATCTATATTTCTGTCTTTGTGCCAGTACCATACTGTCTTGATGACTGTGGCTTTGTAGTAGAGTCTGAAGTCAGGCAGGCCTTGTAAAAGAATGCAACTAGAACACTTTCTAACACTATACACAAAAAGAAACTCAAAATGGATTAAAGATCTAAATGTAAGACCAGAAACTATAAAACTCCTAGAGGAGAACATAGGCAAAACACTCTCGACATAAATCACAGCAGGATCCTCTATGACCCACATCCCAGAATATTAGAAACAAAAGCAAAAATAAATAAATGGGACCTAATGAAACTTAAAAGCTTTTGCACAACAAAGGAAACTATAAGCAAGGTGAAAAGACAGCCCTCAGATTGGGAGAAAATAATAGCAAACAAAGCAATAGACAAAGGATTAATCTCAAAAATATACAAGCAACTCCTGAAGCTCAATTCCAGAAAAATAAATGACCCAATCAAAAAATGGGCCAAAGAACTAAACAGACATTTCTCCAAGGAAGACATACAGATGGCAAAAAAACACATGAAAAGATGCTCAACATCACTCATTATCAGAGAAATGCAAATCAAAACCACAATGAGGTACCATTATACGCCAGTCAGGATGGCTGCTATCCAAAAGTCTACAAGCAATAAATGCCGGAGAGGGTGTGGAGAAAAGGGAACCCTCTTACACTGTTGGTGGGAATGCAAACTAGTACAGCCGCTATGGAGAACAGTGTGGAGATTTCTTAAAAAACTGGAAATAGATCTACCATATGACCCAGCAATCCCACTTCTGGGCATACACACTGAGGAAACCAGATCTGAAAGAGACACGTGCACCCCAATGTTCATCGCAGCACTGTTTATAATAGCCAGGACATGGAAGCAACCTACATGCCCATCAGCAGACAAATGGATGAGGAAGCTGTGGTACATATACACCATGGAATATTACTCAGCCATTAAAAAGAATTCATTTGAGTCAGTTCTAATGAGATGGATGAAATTGGAGCCCATCATACAGAGTGAAGTAGGCCAGAAAGAGAAAGAACATTACAGTATACTAACACATATATATGGAATTTAGAAAGATGGTAATGATAACCCTATATGCAAAACAGAAAAAGAGACACAGATGTGTAGAACAGAATTTTGGACTCTGTGGGAGAAGGCGAGGGTGGGATGTTTCAAGAGAACAGCATCGAAACATGTATATCATCTAGGGTGAAACAGATCACCAGCCCAGGTTGGATGCATGAGACAAGTGCTCGGGCCTGGTGCACTGGGAAGACCCAGAGGGATCGGGTGGAGAGGGAGGTGGGAGGGGGGATCGGGATGGGGAGTACATGTAAATCCATGGCTGATTCATGTCAACGTATGACAAAAACCACTACAATATTGTAAAGTAATTAGCCTCCAACTAATAAAAAATAAATGGAAAAAAAAAGAAAACCATATTTCTTAGGAATTATCTTTTAAAATAAATATCAATGTATACAAATATCTATCTACAAGAAGATTCTCTAGGCAATCTTAATAAAGAAAGTAGGTTTATTTAGTAAATGATGTACTTTAGAAATAGGTGAAATGAATATTTATTGGTACAGAAGGGTGCTCACAGTGTTCAGCATCTCACTTTGAGGACCAGTCCCCAGGTGTTTCAGTAATGTTTTGGGCCATTTATGGCTCACATCAGGGTTCCCCCAGGAATTGACTCCCTGAGGTCCACATCCTGCTGGGGGGCTGACTCATCAGGGCAGGTGTACAAAGGCACAGCTCCCTGTTTCAATTCTGAGTCACTCTGCTGGGGAATCCCAACTGGAGCTCCTCATGGGATTGTCTGGGACCTTTTACAAGACTGCATTATATTTTCACTTCTCCTCTGGTCTATGCTGTTTCCTTCATTTCCTTAC